CCTGGCTCATGCACCCCTCTCTCCTCCATCATTACCTCATCCTCCCATTTCCCCAATATCTCTCTCTCATGCACCTCTCTCTCCTTCCTCTGTCTCTCTTACACCACTTTCTCCATCCTATTCCCCCTATCCCTTGTCTCCAAAACATCGCTCTAAGTATCGCGGTAAAGCTTCCGAGTTTCAGTTCTCTGGACCAGAACTACGCCGTTCCGAATCTCATTCGTACACTCAGCGTCGCCGAGTGCCCAGTCCCCTCATCTCCTGCTCGGACCACCCGCAACCTGGACCTCCACGTCCATCCTCGCTCCCTCTCTTTCTGTCTACGCCGCTCTACAGCTCTCCGTACGAAATACAACCTCCTTTAACGCCCCCATTTGGAGTCGCCCACCAATATTCAGACCAGTTTTTCTCACAAACTTCTCCTCTCTTCCCACTCCCGTCACCTGTGGCTCCTCCTAACCCCGTTCTGGTCTCCAGCTCTCTCTCTCCTACCAATTTCCTGTCTGGAGGCTCCTCCCCATCTTGTATGAGCTACCCGCCCTTAACTCCTCCTTCGCCCAATCAGCCTTTTGTGTCTAAGCCCCTCCCCTACTGGAGCAAATATGATGTTGCTGATTGGCTGACTTACCTGAATCTGGCAGAGCACCGGGACCGTTTTCTTGACAACGAGATTGATGGCTCCCACCTGCCATCTCTGACAAAAGAGGACTTCCTAGATCTGGGTGTGAGTCGGGTCGGACATCGTATGAACATTGAGCGTGCGCTTAAGAGACTTACGGACAGGTGAGATAGAAAGATGAGAATAGGAGGGGAAATGAAGGGTAGATTTAGACGAGGGCCTGATTAACAAGCATCAGAAAGCAAACTAGACACAAGTAGTGAGGGGGAAAATTATTAGTTTTTCTGAAACGGAAAAGAAGCCGTTTATATATGTTTTCCTAAAAATGGTCCACCATTTCATAAAAATTTAGCTCTGCATGGATAATTCTGCCTGCAGCTTTACTCAACAATAAATAAATATTCTGCCCTTGATGTTTTTGTATGCTTTAGATGATGTTTATTAAAAGAAGTTTAGTTAAGTAAGGAAGACTTCATTCGATCATAAAACCCATTTCCTCTCTAGACTGTGACCTTCATGTATACATATTTTATTTCGCACTGCCAATCAGAGGTTTGGACATATCTATTCATTCTTTATTATTAACATTTTCCACATTTTAGAGTAATAGTAAAGTATGAAAACTAAGAAATAATACCAATGGAAACATTTCTGCTATGTAGTGACCAAACAGTGTTAAATCCCAACCATTTCCATGACACTACTGAAGGAGTTCTCATGTCTCCTTGTTTTTTTGTGAACTAATTTTTAGTTTGTAGTTTTTAATAACGTCTGCACAACCCTTTAGATCAAAAGATCATGAGTGGTCGAGTGTGACCAAACCTTTGTCTAGTATAACATAAATGAATTGAGTTATTATTTTTCATATTCCATGTAAGACCACAAACATCATTTAATCGATTGAATCACAGCTCATTCCTTTTCATTAAACATGGCATTTATTTGAAATTGCACAACTGACACGTGCCCTGTAATTACATACTGCACATTTATATAACTTTAATTGCTTTTTGAATGCCAAATTCTTCATCTTAGTTTGTAGATGATCAGTATATCAAGCACTTTCTTTTCTTACCTCATGCTCTGCCTCTTTTTCTTTCTTTCCCCCCTTCCATGTTTTCTAGGCTCTCCTCTGCTTTCTCTGTCTCCACTGTTTCTTCTGAAGGGCAGAACGAACGCATGAGAGATGAGGCGACTCAGAGCTAGAGGAGAGAATTAGAGAGAACCAGTTAGAGGATAGAAAGAAAGAAAGAATAGGGTTAGACAAAAAGCACTTGGGATGAAAGGGAAAGACTGAAGGACAGAGATGGGGATGATTGCAATGGAGAAGCGCTATGAAATACTCGAACACTCTCACAGAGAGCAAATGTTTGTCGTCCCAGCTGAAGCCAGACGGCCAAACATCTTCAGCCTGTCAGAGACAGAGAGAATGTACTTCTTTCATTGTTTTTTGGGATGACGAGATCAAGAGGTTTAATGAATTTTAGTAATATATTATTATATTAATACAAATGAGGCTACTGTGCATATTTTAGCATCATGACGTGCAGGCTTTGATTCATCTGATATGATGATTAAAGTCAACATGAAACCAGAATGACCCCATTTACTTTTTAATACACATTTTTTTGTGCACGTTATTCCAAAGAATGCTTATCAAATGTAATTTTCCTTTTTGGCTGATGTCACCAAGCCCCTCATATTTTTTAACCGCCAGTCATACAGTGACACTTTACACCATCCAATCAATTTGCAATAGATAAAATCAAGTCCTGCCTTACATTTTTATCATTGAATGTCTTTTTTTACTCCGATATGTTGGATGATGAAAGTAAAACGGGTTGTAAACTGTTTCATGTTGACTTTAAGTAATAAAAGCTCTAAAAAAAAAAGTCATCATAATGCCAATAATAACCATATAAGGATTATGTAAGCATTTTAATACCGTTAGCAGAATCAGTCTTCCAAAGATCAGAACACAATGAAAGAACCCATCGTTTATATTGCTTGAGTGTGCTTTTGTTAACCTACACAAACACACACATGCACACTAACACAGACTCTGTGTGTGCGTGTGTATGTGTGTTTTGTTACGGCGGTGATGGTTGTTTTATAGGAGTAAAGCATAACTCCATTTCATTTGAAAATATATTTAAGGAAATAGGAACAAAGGAAATATATATATATATATGTGTGTGTGTGTGTGTGTGTGTGTGTGTGTATGTGTGAGTGTGTGTATGGAAATGTATGCAGAATTAAAGTATATATATATATATATATATATATAGATATAGATATAAATATCAGATATTTCTATTGTTCTGTACAATAATTGATGAATATGATGATACATAAGCTCTGCTTAAGAGGTTTGAATAAATTATTCTGTTGTTGAATTTATTCTCATCTCTTTTTGATCAAAATTGACAGAAATTAACACTTTAAACAGTTACACTTTTTCACAATTTTTGCAGCTTTTACAGCCAAATTTTACTGAATTCTTTACTACAGGGATAGTTCACCTAAAAATGGCCCCTCAGGCCATCCAAGATGTAGATGAGTTTGTTTCTTCATCAGATTTAGGGAAATGTAACATTTCATCACTTGCTCAGCAATGGATGCTCTGCAGTGAATGGGTGCCGTCAGAATGAGAGTCCAAACAGCTGATAAAAACATCACAATAATCCACAAGTAATCCACACCACTCCAGTCCACCACTCCCAAAGCTGTGTGTTTGTAAGAAACAAATCCATCATTAAATTGTTTTTAACTTAAAATGGTCATTTCTGGCCAAAATGTGCGTCCATAATCCATAATAATGCTTCCTCCAGAGAAAAAGTCCATCTCCTGTTGTCCTCTCACATCAAAATCCACCCACATATTTGTTTAGAGCTGTTTTGGACTGTTTTTGCTTGTAAACGGTGCTTGATCTGTGCAGATTTCTCTCATGATTCAGACGAGATGACTTTTTCACTGGAGGAAGAGTGATCATTATGGATTCATATTTTAGCTGGAAGCAAAGTTAAAAAAGGTTTGAAGTAAAAAAAAAACATCTTAAGGATGGATTTATGTCTTACAAACAGGCAGCTTTTCACTTCACAAGATGTTAATTGATAGACTGGAGTGGTTGGATTACTTGTGGATTATTGTGACGGCTTTATCAGCTGTTTGGACTCTCATTCTGATGGCACCCATTCACTGCAGAGCATCCATTGTGATGTAATGCTACATTTCTCCAAATCTGACAAAGAAACAAACTCATCTACATCTTGGATGGCCTGAGGGCAGAGGCGTCATACCCATTCAAAGTTAGGGGGCACGTGCCCCCTCAGATTTTTGAGCTAAGAGGATTTTGAATGCAGCTTCCAAAAGACAAATAATAGCCATTGATATTTTCTATATTTAATACAATCACACTGGCGTGATTAACGTTCAGTGCGTCATATCATCAGCTGCTAAATTCATATCTGCGTTCGCTGGCTGGCGCTGAGCCAGATACAGACGCGTTTTTACAGCACTGCGCATTAACCAATCATACACGATGCTGTTGAGCTTATGAATACAATGACCAATCAGAGGTGTTCAGATGAGTCATCGCTAAAAAGCCGGTGTTTTCTTCACTCGCTCGCTGCTGAATACCTCTTTCTGGCTAATTCTCTCGTCAGAAACAACAAAGTGCAAATGTGTGTACGAATCTGTAAGAAATTAATTTCCTAGTGTAAACAGCTTCAGTGATTTTAATGGGAGTTTTTGAGAGTGCTTGAACTAGATTGTCAGTGATAATGTAAATGTTCTTTGCTCTCTTTACAATGAAAGTGTAATTATGATTAGTAGCCTAACTTGCAATGTTTTTTATTCACATTAACTTTCAATGTTAAATTCAAATTAAATATAAACTCAGTCGTATTAAAAATATGTTATGGCATGACATCCATATCTGTTAATGAAGTAAACAGACAGGTTTTTATGCATAGACAATAGATTACATTATTAGGTTACTTTGACCATTGCCAACTTATAGATCAACATAATCTATAAAGGTGAGAATCAAGAAATTTCACAATATAGTTAATGCGTTTGGGGATGTTTCGAATAAAAAGGAAAAAATAAATAAAACCTAATTTTCATTTTTGGGTGAACTATTCCTTTAATTATATGCTTGAACGTTGTTCCATGGAGGTAACAACCATCAGGGTGAGTAAATAATGACTTTTTCATTTAAAAATGAACTATTCCTAGATTTCCCACAGGCCACGATTGACTGCGTATGATGCGGTAGAGATCACATGACACTGGCCACTGCCCTGTTGCTGTTGCCGAGATGATGAACTCTGATAATAAACAATCATCTATATTCATGTTACTATAAGTGCCTTAAACACTTCATATGCTTTTATTACAGATATGTCGAATTGCATGGTATATTGTTTGGTTTGGACTTATGAACCTGCTCTGTAAACACACTGATACATACTAATTGCTTCACATGTTGGCAGTTTTTCACTCTGAGCTGTGATTGGCAGAGAGCTGAAATAACTCTCACATTCTACAACACACTTACATTTCACACCTGACAACTAATTTACACTGAGATGAGAGAGAATGTCTGTGTGTGTGTGTGTGTGTGTGTGTGTGTGTGTGTGTGTGTGTGTGAGAGAGAGAGAGAGAGAGAACACACACTTGCATGTACATGTGCACCTCCACAACAGCTGACTGACTTCTCAGACACTGGAGGAACATCAGACAGACAGAGATGGGAGAGAAGTGAGGGATACTAAAGGAGGGCAGAACAAGCCAAAGAACAGAAGAAAACAGCCTTGGAGTGACAGGTCAGTTTTGCTTTTCGTTTGTTATTCTGTTTGACTTTAGTTTCTGAGTAGTTGACAAAAAAACATAAAAATTTGATAATGAATGATACGAAAGTGTATATTTTAGGTGCTGCAACATCATTTTGATTTTTAAAAACCGCTTTACCATTTTGCACCCCACTTAAAGTAAATGGTTGTGCTGTGTGAGACTTTAAAGTACAAATAGTTCATTTACTCTCAGTTAATATGACAAAATCTGCATGCATAAATTAGAGAAGCAAAAAAAAAAAGAAAATAGTTTTAGTAGCATGTCACTGTTAACTGTCAACTATCCATATAGCATAAAGAGTGTTACCCTGATTCATTGGATAGTGTTGCGTGTGAATCAGTGCAGGTTTACAAACTAAGGAAATTAGCATTTATTAAGTAACTTAATGTGACACTTTTGCATGTGACACTTTGCTATGCAAAAACAAATAGCTTTGATTGTTTTATAGTGTATATTTAGCTCACACAGAAAGCCTGATCAATACTGTAGATCATTGCTGAAATCGCCCGTTGAAATGCTTCCATTATGTTTTTGTACTTTGCTAAAAATTGATTGATATTCACAGTAACAAAAATGCTATATTTTTTGAGTTTTATTTTTGATATGCTTTTCTTCTGTTTGTGTATTTTTCCTATGCAATCTGTTCGTATTTGAGATTGTGATTGTAAATGTTTTATTTAATTTTCTAGAAAAAAACAGACTGAAGTTTGAACACTGTTCTGCATGAATATAGATGTGAGTTTTGATAAATCCCTTATGTGTGTGTGTTTGTATATATATATATATATATATATATATATATATACATACACATATATATA